GCCTTTGTTGTAGAGAACCAGCTAGAGGTTAGGGTAAGGAAGAGCCACTGAGGATAGAGGCATGCTTATATTTATTGAGCAATGGCTATATTTCTGGCATGATGGATACCATGGCAAGCAAAGTCAGACACAGTCCCTTCAACATCTCAGGTCAAACATCCCTTCCTTATCTCTATCATCCTAAACTAGGGCAGTTTCCTCTGCTACATGCTTGCAAACACCTTGTAATTTTCTTTCATAGCACTTAACCAGAGTTTGCACATTGCTTCTCCTTATTAGAAAGCCAGCTTGTGAGGCAGGGATTTGCCTGTCTTTGCTTAATCACCGTGCCTAAATGAGTAGTGAGTACATCCTGGACCGCAGTGGTAGGCTAAAATGCAAGATAGAAAGAGTGGGGCTTCTTGTTCAGTTGCCCTCAGCTCACCAAGTCCATAAGTCATTCCTCTCTTGCAAAGGGGTATAGGAGAGCTCAGGTGGGAGTGTCAAAACATGACTTCTCAATACTTTCAGAAGCCTAAATGTTGCCAATTTACAGGCCAAAATGGACTGTGAGGAGAGGAGAGAGACATCCCACATAATCATGAGCAAAAGTCCTTTAGTCAGTTTGTTTTCACTGCAAATCCTTTATTAGTTGTTATTACAACAGGCACTTGTTGCCGTTTGGACCCATGACTTAGATTTTGTGATTAGGACTCTGCCACTTCCTGGTTGAACCTGGGTGGGTGTTTCCCCAGTGTCAGATTCCTCATGCTGAAAATGTGGTACTGCTCTACCCACCCTGAGGGGTTCTTGAGACAGTGATATGAATGCCCAAACAGGTTTAAACTATATTAAACTTAGATGTTAATATTATTCCCAGGGACACATTTGTGTGGCCTTTGCCAGCTCCCCTCAACCAATCCTTTCAGACTTCCAAGATGCATTTTTGAGATTGCAGATATTGACCCTTTATTTCTTCTTGGAGAGCACACAAGTCATTATTGTAAAGAAAAATTATATTTTCTCTTCTGATTTGAGCATAAGGATGGGATGGGGAAGGGAGGAGGGAAGTAGACAGGGAGAGTCTGCTGTGTTTTCTACAGGGAGTTGTAAAAATGACAGTGGAGATTTGTATCCAGATCCTGTTCCATCAGCGCTCCATCTGGTCCTGTGATGGTTACATGAGGCTGAGTATAGTTGAGGTGCAGTGGGGGTAAAAGAAGGAACAAATGGAAAATAAAATTGGAGGGTCCAAGCATAGTATGGTAGCTCCTTGCTGTACTATAACATATGGTAGTCCTCTCAAATCCTATTTGGAGCAAGGTGAAGTATAAATAAGGAGCTAAAGTTAATACACAATTAGTCAGGAGACATGGGATATTGTTAAAGTGCATTTTCCAAATCAAATCTAACAAAACTGAAACAAAATAAGAATGAGGAAGAGAGACTCGAAGTAGGCCTTACAATAACACTAGAAATCTAGGTTTTAAAAATTATTAGTAGAGTCAATAAAAGCAACTCCATCCAATTAATGTATGCTCTGATACTACCCCAAGAGAGCATTGCATTAGGTGTTAACTCTTAATGTTAGCCCTTAAAGTAGATAGTTACTGCTGACTTTAAGAACTAGAACAGAAGAAATAACAATAATTAGGAGCAAAGCTAAAGCTGTGAAACTATGAAACGCTGAAAGGCTAGATGAATGCCCCAGACGAAGGGATTCAGCCTTAGACTAACCCAAGCACAAGAGTGAACATCAACACAGAGGAAACGAGGACAAATTCTCAGAGAACCTAACTGCAAGAGATGGGAATGCTAGACAACAGTAAGAAAGGTCCATGCTATAACATCTGTTATTTAGAGGGGACATGAAAGAAAGTACCCGGATATGAACTACTTTCTCAGAAAGTACCAATACCTTCCAGGGAATGATAGGATAATGAAAATCACTACATATAGAGCCACTTTTTGAGCTCTTATATGCCCCAGACATTGGGTTAACTATTTACACAAATTTAATCTTCACAGCTACTCTTGGGGAGAGAACTGCTATCTTTACATAATTGAAGAAGACACTGAGGCTTGTAGAAGTTAAATAATGCCCAGGTCACTCAAGTGACAAGCAGTAGAGCCAGATTTAAACTCAGCTTTGGTCCATTACTCTTAGTCAGTGTCTCAGAAGAATAAGAAACTTGGATGATGACTGAGGAGAGCTGAGCGCATGTCCTGTATTCTGCTACTGGTTGACTCTATGACGTGGGCCCCATATCCTTCATCTATAAAATAACAAGACCAGGCTACATAGGTCTCCACGTACTCTTCTAGGTCTAAAATGCCATGACATTTTCTAACCAACACTCTATAGTTTACAAGAGGCATTTAAGTCAGAAGGAACATGCAGAATAATAATGGATCATATTCAGGCAAATTTTAAAAATAGGGTTACTATCTTGATAGCAGATGAAATAACAAAAAACACTAAGATATAATCAAGGTCACCAGAGAAGGTAAGTGGTACATAGAACAAAGAAAATCTAGTAATAAAATCAAATGCACAAATTTCAAACATGTAACAGAAAAATGTATAAACGAAGAGCTACCAGAAATGCACAAAATATATAGGCCTATCAGATCTGTCTTCAAGCAAGTTGTAGTTAGACTCTGAAATACAGCAGATCAAGAGGTTATAAGAAAGAAATGGGAATCCCTAACAAAATGTGACGAGGAGTGAGCGAGAAATGAATGGAAAATGAAGTTGGAAGATCTGAGTATAGAATAATGAAGAAGGAATTTACTGACACATTTTGAGAACCTAAAGGTAGGACATATTACAATCAAGCAAACAAGTAGAAACAAATCCATCTTACTCTTTAACATAAAAGATATTTAGCAATTAGAAAAAGGCAGTCAGACCATTTATCATATTATTTCAACTATATGTAACAATCTTGAAAGAAATCACTGAGGGTGAGTTATTACAAATAGTGTGTGAGGACAAGAGCTATGTCCATACAAAGAAGTGATAACTAGAATAGCTGTCCCCTGCATCTGCAGGGATGTGTTCCAAGACCCCAGTGGATGCCTGAGGCTACAGATAATATAGAAATTTATGCATACTATGTTTTCTTCTGATATATGCATACCTATGACATAGTTTAATTTGTAAGTTAGGCACAGTAAGAGGTTAACAATAATAACCAGTAATAAAATAGAACCATTATAATAATATGTGGAAATAAAAGTTATATGAACTTGATCTCTCTCAAAAGAATCAAGACAAATATTAATATTTTTAACTGCAGTTGGCCGCAGGTAATTGAAACCAAGTGAAACTACAGATAAAGATACTTTATCTCACTCACCATCAATTTCTGTGGTTCCTGGCACTGAATAAGGGACACATAGTAGGACCTCATTAGCATTTGATGAATGAATCAGATGTGGCAGTACTACGTACTCTATGGTTACACAGGTTTACATGCTCACTTCAGTAGCTCAGAAGGAATTTTGCAATGATGTAAGCAGAGAACACTTTTCCCTTTTTTCCAGATACCTAGATTCATAATTAAAGATTAAAAAAATCATATACACACATTTATATGTACATATAACACCACCTCTGTGTTCCAACCCTGTGTGCACAGTGCACTCCGCTTTGTTTTGGAGTCTTAAGAGATTTGTGAATCTAGACCTGACTGGACATTGGGCTTGCCCACGGAGCTCCATGCCCACTAGCTTCTCTGGGATGAGGTCCAGAACTCTCTCTAATGTTCAAATAGCCCACAAGTCCACTTGAGCAGCAAAAAAATCTCACAAACCTTTTATCTTCCTTACATGAGAATTGCTTGTTCATTTTCAAGAATAATCCTTTATGCTGTTTGTATGGAGTTCTGATTCAAAACTACCCTTTTCATATTGTTTTTAAAAAGTTACCTGACACCCACGCATAGGAAATCAATGTGAATCAATGCCCTGTATAGCTATCCTTATCTCAACCAGAAAAAACCCTTGTTCCTTCCTATTATTGCTTATACTCTCTCTACAACAAAATTAGAAATAAGAGCAAAATAGTTTCTGCTTGGGTATTGAGGGGGTGGGGGGGAGAGGGAGGGGGCGGAGTGGGTGGTAAGGGAGGGGGTGGGGGCAGGGGGGGAGAAATGACCCAAGCCTTGTATGCACATATGAATAATAAAAGAAAAAAAATAAATAAAAAGTTACCTGAATGAATGCAGTATGCCACAGTGACAAATACGATCAAGGTGCTGGGGTCCCTAACCTACCTCCAAATCATAATGTCCACAGGAGACAGATGAGGTCGGTAGCCTGAACCTCTATTAAGCAAAGATGTTAGAGACTGACTCACAGCTTGGGTCACCTCCATGGGCAGATAGGCCAGGTAGGCACTGAGAGTTCTCACAGAGGCCAAAGGGACAAGCCCACCAGAACTGAGAAGCACACCTTTGAGACTGCCCTCAGATCTCTTCTATTGGTATGATATGAAGGAGCCTGAAGGCAGAGGTCAGGGATTGCCATGGTCTCTGAGGACACAGGAATCTGGCAACCCAGACTTTAGGTTGTGCAGCTCTCAATAGTACAGAGATAAATTGTTGGGAAACATAAGTTGTGAAGCTGTGTGTGAGAGCCATGCCGTGATCTGGAGTCTAGGGAGGGTTCTCTGATGCTGGGGTGCGGGAATGGTACCCACTAAGGATGTCGCAGAGCTCTGTGTTGCCTTCATGTTGTGTCCCAGCACCTGACTCCTCTTCCTGGCTTTGTGTCTCCAGCACTGGGGTTGAACCTAGGTGTCTCTCCCCTGCCCACCTCTGCTACCTGTCCAAAGTTTCATAGGGTTCACGACGAATCTGCTTTAGAGGTTGGCAGAAGCTCCCTGCAACTGGGAAGAGCAGGGCCATTTGTTGCCTTTATATGAGTTAGGACTTGAGTTCAAAAGGCCCCCTTGGGGCTGGTGATGGGCCAGGGTAGGAGGATCTTGGGAGTAACCACATTCTTCCCCTCTTTAGGCTGCCCATTCTTCAGGGAGGGACATTTGCTTTTTTGGCACCCTCTCTGGCTATGCTCTCTCTTCCGGCCTGGAAATGCCCAGAGTGGACACTAAATGCCACCCAGGTGAACATCAGCTCTCCTGAATTCACGGAGGAATGGCAGAAGAGGATGCGAGAGGTAACAGGGCCAGGAGGTGGGTGGGATAGATGGATGGAGGTGATAAAAACAGAGGCTTCTGAGTGGATTCATGTGTTCTATGTTCACTAACTGCCTGCCAGGAAGGATGCTGGGTGTTAAGATGCTGATGCAGATAAGATAGGCAAGGAGTTTGTCCTCAGAGAGCTAACATTCTCGAATGTATAGAACAGGTGTGATAGAACAGGATGGGAGGGAAAGAGAGAGAAACACCCCAACAGGAAAATGAAAGAGGGAAATTGCAGAGCATCGTAAGGGCAATGAAGAAAATAAAACAGGATGACTTGTGAGATGGGGATTGGGGGTATTGGAGTGGAAAGCATGGGGAGTGAAGAGGGTATTCTTATAAACCCTGTTGCATCCTTCACAAACAGTACAAGTGACAGAGACATTCATATTTTCTTTAAGACAGTTACTGTTTATTTTTGTGTTTGTGACATGGAGAGTTCCCTAATGCAGGAGTTAACAAACTATGATCCCTGGACCAAGTCCTATCTATGGCCTGTTCTCTTACTGCCCATGAACTAAGAATTATTTTTATATTTTTCAAAGGTTGTTTTTTAGAAAAGGAATGTGTGTCAGAAACCACACATGGCACAAAATGTAAAATATTTGCTTGCTGGTTTTTTACAGAGAAAGTTTACCAGGTAGGGTAGGGCTCCTCTTGCCCAGATCTAAGGCAGTCTGTCATCTACATGTTTTCCCCACATTACCCCAAAAAGTCCAATGCAATGAGCCACAAACCCAGTTTTATCTGTGGTATTTTAGCTCCCTCTGTTGACCAAATATTTTTCACGAGTGGTATAAATGAGAGAAAGTTCTTTCAAGTCTCAACCTCGTTTTCTTAACTGACTGATTGGTTGGTTTAAATCACTGAGTCAGCATCATTGGGAGGAAGTGTGGATTGCCCATGTCTCAGTGAAATATATTTTCCCACACATCGCAAATCTGTAAACAACCAATGTCAGCAGACCAACTGCATATTGCAGTCTAGCCACAGATGGAAGTATAATGAATATCAGGATTGCTGTGACTTCCTGACGTTCCAGAAGTGAGGGACAGGGAAAAGTGAACAAGGATTATGCTTTGAAAAAAACAGTGGCTGCAGAAAAAAAGTAGGAAACTGTGGGAAGAAATAGCAAGAAACACATTAGACCAATTTAAAGCTCACCTTCCAGTAGCATGGTATTTTGAGCTGCACAGACCCCACTCATGTTATCAACATGTAAAAATGATGGACGAACTATATTTTCAAATGCATGCTTGAGCTGAAAGCCAACTTGTAATGCTGCTTTCTAGAAGCACAGGTAGAAATTGTAAATCACAATGATGGTCACGATGAAGCATTACACCAGATTTAGGACCAAGTTTAGAAGCTTGGGTTTTAATGATAGACCGGGATCCTGAAAGAGCATCCCCTTCAGTGAGTGGCGCTCCATGATAATTCCACTCACCCTCCAGCGCAGGGAATTAGTTCGGAATCCTTTTCGTTCTGCTCAGGGGTCCGTGGGAAGTGGAACACAGATCTGCATGAGAAACAAAAACTCCCACTGCGACACAGGTGGTGCAGTGGAAAATATCTCAAGCTCACAAGTTAAAACTGGTCCTGACCATGAAATACCCATGGTTCTCAGCAGAAAAAAATGTAAAATCACTCTGGAGGGTATTTCCACATTCTAGGGTACACAAGACTCCCACAGGAATTTCTCTGTAGATGAGCTCACAGATGTAAATTTCATTTCACACAAGGAAATAATGAGATGTAAGAATAGCAGAAACAAGAGATAATCAATTTGAAAGAGGCTATAAGTCAATATGCTTCAATTAATTTAAAAATCAAAAAGCAATAGAAACTACAACACAAAAGAAGATAAAATGAAAGGGGAACAGAAAAATTTAATAGAACCAAATAGAATTTTAGCAATAAAAATATAGCCATTGCAATTTAAAAATGCACGTAATGGTTACATAGCATTCATTCAGATAGCAAAGGTTGACTTTAAAGACCATCTACAGAAATAATCCAGAATGGAGCATAGAGGGATAAGAAGATGGGAAGTGTGAACCAGAGGATAAGAAATGGTGAAAACAGAAAGAAAAGTCCACCTTGGGTCTAATTGGAATTCCTAGAGGCGATGCTAGAGAAAATGGAAAAAGGGCTGTGTTAGAAGAGATATGATTGCTGATAATTTAGAACATAGGAAAAATGTGAACTCTCAGGTTGAACAAAAGTACACAAAGTCCAAAGTAGAATAAATCCACAACTAGACACAATATAACGAAACTGTCATATCTAATACAAAGAGAAAAATCTTTAAAGCAATGAGAAATACAAAAACATCAGAAGGCTGGAAGACAATGAAATACTTTCAAAACACTAAGAGGAAAACATTGTCATTCTAGAATTCTGTCCCCAACTGTAGAAGTCCATGTCATACAAGATTAATGGCAAAATAAAGACATTTTAAGTTAAATAAAGACAAAAGAGAGTTTGTTAGTCACAGACCTTAAATTGAAATAGCTACTAAAAGATATTCTTAAGCAGGGTGCAGTGGCACATGTCTATAATCTCAGCACTCAGGAGACTGAGGCAGGAGGACTGGATTGCAAGTTTGAGGCTAGCCTGAGCTATGTAGTGAGACCCTTCAGAGAGAGAGAGGGAGAGAGAGAGAGAGGGAGAGAGAGAGAGAGAGAGAGAGAGAGAGAGAGAGAGAGAGAAAAGAAGAAGAAGAAGAAGAAGAAGAAGAAGAAGAAGAAGAAGAAGAAGAAGAAGAAGAAGAAGAGGAAGAGGAGGAGGAGGAGGAAGAGGAGGAAGAAGAGGAAGAAGAGGAAGAGGAAGAAGGAGGAGGAGGAAGATGAGGAGGAGGAAGAAAAGGAGGAAGAGGAAGACAGGGAGGGACTTCCTTTTCTCATAAGGCACTATTTCTATCATGGGACCTCATCCTCCTGACCTCATCTAAACCTAATTACTTTCCAGACCCCCATTTTCAAATACCGTCACAATGGGGGCTAGGACTTTTATATATAAATTTGGAAGGGGACAATTCAGTACACAGTAATAAGTATACCTACGTAAATACTTCCTATAGGAAAATATAACAAAAGGCATACTAAGAATCAAAGGCAGTGGAAAAATAAGCAAATATTTGACAATAACAGCAATGGAAACAGAGAATATGGTGATGGGAGTTAATATTTTTTAGTGATTGTACTAGTTGGGTGGAGACTGGAAAATTTATTTAACTGTAGGCTTTGTTCGGTGAGATATTCACATTAAAAAGTTAACAGTAACTTCTAAAAGAATAAAAAGAGAAGGTGGACTATTCCAAACTGTTAAGTAAAAAAGAAGAAGTAAACTCATTTAGTCTAATAGATCAGAGTTTGGTCCAGGAGCCAAATCTGGCCCATTGCCTATTTTTGAGTAGCCTGTGAGCTAAGAATAGTTTTACATTTTAAATGGTAATTTAAAAAGAAAAATAATATATCCTGACATGTCAAAATTATATGAAATTCAAATTTCAATGTCTATAAATGAAGCATTATTGGAACACAGCTATGCTCATTTGTTTGCATCTTGTCTGGAAAAGTTGCAACAGAGCCCGTATGGCCACCAAACCTAAAATATTCACTAACTGGATCCTTACAGAAAAAGTTTGCTGACTCCTGCAACAGGAAACAGGAGAACAGAAAAATATAGCAGCAAGACATTCAACATACCACTGAATGAAGCTAGTGTTTTGAGTCATTGTCAGTATCATGGCTATGATTAATCAGTCATTTTGAAGCTCATTTCCTGAAAAGCTTCATGTTAAATGAAAACGTCCAACGGGCAGTTGGAAACACATTGGAGAGAAGAATGAGATGGGAGCTTCCCATCCCTCTGTTCCTTTGGGTGTCAGCTTTGGCTCTGCACTGCTTTAGAATGCATCATGTAGGGGTGACCAGCTTGGGCAGTGGGCTGTCGAAGCTGGGCCTGTCAGGGTGGCCTGGGCTGGGCTGAAGCTCACTCTTTCCCTTCAGTTGCAGGGTGCTATTATGGTCGCTTCCTGTGTCCAGATGCTAGTGGGCTTCTCAGGCCTCATTGGCTTCCTCATGCGCTTCATTGGCCCCTTGACCATTGCTCCGACCATTTCCCTGGTGGCCCTGCCTCTCTTTGATTCTGTGGGCAATGAGGCCGGGACCCACTGGGGGATTTCCATCATGTAAGTACTCTTTGGGGACAGTGGCCAGCTGAGTCCTCTTTAGTTGATGATCTGGTAAGAATAATAAGAGTCTGGGATATTGCAAACTCTTGTAGTTTATAAATACTTTACTTTCACGAACATTATCATACTTTAAAAGGCACTGAAGCTGCTATTTATGATTCGTTATTACTGCTAATTATTGTGACCTTATTAATACTCAGATAATGAGTTGATCACAAGCAGTGTATAAGCATAATAGTGTGTACAAAACATCCATCCTACAGGTCCCCTGCCAACTACGGTTTCATTAAGTTGGGAAGCGTTCATTAAGAACGGTCCCAGCTGTCAAGCATATTACAGTCTCAGAGACACGACTGGGACCCAGAACTGAGATACCAGGAGACAGCTGTAGGGTGCTGTTGGTGTTTTGGGGTTGGAGTAGGGTGATGATGGCCAGCTGGGAAGGTCAGCGAGGCATCACAGAAAACGAGGCCTTAAGCATTCTCACTGAGATTTGAAGGGACTTGGGGGGACTCTCATTCACTCTGTTCTTTGTGGAGCAGAGGTGTGAAGATCATCAGATCTGCAGAATGGCCTGGGAGATAAGATGGCCTCACTTGGGCCTCATTGATTCTAACTGCGTAATCTGTCTGGCTGCCGGCAGCTTATTTCTCTCTGACCCCTGGAAACAAAGGCATCCTACCTCACTATTTTTCTTCGGCCCCAGAAGCTTCCAACAGGGAGCAGCCTCTCTTCAGGGATGGCAGGACCTGCCTATACTGCAGACAGGGAACCTTGGTCCCACAGACACATGGTGGCTCAGCTTCTTGGTCCATCTGCAAAGGCTGGCGTGCTTCCCTCCTGGGATGAGTTCAGTGGCCAGGTTGGGTGTGTTCCTTGTTTCTGTTTCAGGACCATCTTCTTCATCGTGGTGTTTTCTCAGTTCCTGAAAAACATCCCGCTGCCTGTGCCAGCTTACGGAGGAAAGAAGTGTCACATTTCTAAGTTCTACCTGTTTCAGGTCTTCCCTGTAAGAAGCACCCCTTACCCTCTTCTACTCTTAGTCAACTCACCTGGAGAGTGCAGAGCAGCCAATCTATGCCCTGGTGGCCTCAAATTGAATGATCCTCAATCTACTGTGGCCTCTTTACAGAGGTGTGTGGGGTGCACCCCCCTAACGGTTGATGGCGTGCCATCTCGGGAGCCGTTGGTCATTGTTCTGGGCGCTGGTGTGGGACAGCCTTCTCATGGTCCCTGCTGTCCTCATAGCTGGGACAGACAGCCAGGTTCATCTCTAATAACATGAAACCAAGGGCCAACTTGCTTAGATCAGGGTCTTCCTCAGTGGCTCCTGGGTGACTCAAATGCTTATAATGATGGTGGTGCCTGAGTGGTCCCTGTTGAATTCACTCCCTGTCAACCACATAGATATGCCTTCAGGTTTAATTTAAATGCAAACTGTATTTCTCATGTAAAAAGTTACTTCCACATAATGATTCTATGATCTCTCAAAAACCCCACAAGGCAGTGATTCTAAAATTCAGGGTATATTGGAGAATGTGCTAAAAATACCAGAACTGAGGACCTCACTTAAAGAAATCCTATTTCAGGGTCTGCAGAGCAGTGATTATAGTTCTGTGGTTCAGATGAAGAAACTGAGGCTTAGAGACTTTGCGCCAAGTTCATGTGGTCAGAAAATGGTGGAAAGAGAGCCAGATTGTAATCCCTTTGTTCCAGGTTATACCCAGTGCACTAGACATGTCGGCCCCAAGTTTGCCCAAGGTCTCCTCCCATGGTTCATTTTGTACTTCTATTTCCAGCCTATTTGCCAATTTATCCATGGGCACAGCAGGCTCTTGTTGTCACTAGCAGGGTCAGTAACCCAATCCCTCATCTCAAAGCACTTCCCAAACCCTCTCCTCAGGGAGAAAGGGAGCTGGGGCAGGCAGAGCTTGAAGAGTGGTTCCCTCCACAGGTGATGCTGGCCCTCTGCATCTCTTGGCTCATCTGCTTCCTGCTCACTATCAACAATGTCCTCCCCTCAGCCCCCACTGCATATGGGTACCAGGCCCGCACGGATGCCAAAGGCAATGTCCTGAGTCAGGCCCCATGGTTTCGCTTCCCTTATCCAGGTGAGGAGAAGATGGGAGCCCCTTCTTGCTTGGGACACATGCTTCCTGGGACTGTCCGTGGGGCTCAGGGTACTGGGTAGAGAATTGAATAAGGGCTAGGGGAGGAATTGATGGGGAGGGATGGGCCCCAGGGGATCCACATATGACTCCTAAGAGAAGAAGTAGACTCTAGTGGTGGAGTGGCTCAAGCAGTAAGAGTGCTTGCCTAGCAAGCATGAGGTCCTGAGTTCAAACCCCGGTACCACCAAAAAAAAAAAAAAAAAAAGAAGAAGAAGAAATAGAGCCTAGGTTGTTCTAAGAATTCCTTGGGAGGCTCATACTCTCAGATCCACCTCAGAGCTGGGCTATATTCTTAGTCCTCCTCCTTCTTGCCCAGAACCCATAGGCCTGGGAGTCTGTGGAGGTGAAAGAAGCCATGACTTCCAACCGGACTTTTGTGTCTCCTGGTGGATTCAGTGGATCTCACTCAAGGGAGGCCTGGGGATGAATTTGATATTTTTGGGGAGACCAGGGCATCCCTTAGGCTACTTCTGGTCTCTTTTCCCTGTGGTTCATGGAGAAACATAACCAGGGTCCAACAAGGACCACCTGGCCTCATGGACTATGGACCTGAGGCCTCCCTTCCAAAAGGGAGTCTTAGCTTCCAATAGTTTCAAAGAAGATGCCCAATTTCTGGGTTTCTCTGCAAAGCAACTTCAAGTTCTGGCCATCTGATCCATCTTCAGGGAGCAATGGCAGTGCAGGAACCCCAGCCAAAGCCTCTGGACAGTTGTGAGGGACTGTGCCCAGTCTTTAAAGTCTTTCAGAGAAATAACTGGGGTTCAGGAGCCTCTTCTGACTGGACATTCCCTCCATATCGTATTTTCAGGACAGTGGGGCCTCCCCACCTTCAGTCTGGCTGGGGTCTTTGGGATCATCGCTGGAGTGATCTCTTCAATGGTGGAGTCGGTGGGCGATTATTATGCCTGTGCCCGTCTGATAGGGGCCCCACCCCCTCCAAAGCACGCCATCAACCGTGGTATTGGCATTGAGGGCCTCGGCTGCCTCCTGGCAGGGGCCTTGGGGACAGGAAATGGCACCACTTCCTTCAGCGAGAACATCGGGGCATTGGGCATCACCAAGGTAAGGCTGCTGACAGTGGCTTCTGGGGACAAGCCAGGAGCCTGAATCTGCCACCCTACAAGTTAGTTTCCTGTTGTTGCTGTAACAAATCATCATAAAGTTACAGCTTCAAGCAATCCACATGTATTATTTTATTAACCCAGAGGTCAGGAATCAAACCTGGATCTCATAGAGATAAAATGGTGGTTTTGGCAGGGCTGTATTCATCTCTGAAGGCTTTGGTGTAGGGTTGGGGAGTGGGGAAGACACCCATGGCCTGGTCTTTTCTGTAATCAAAAAACTGCCATGTCCTTGGGCTCTGGCTCCTTCCTCCATCTTCCTCTGCCACAGCTGGGAAGGTTCTCTACTTAGAAGGCCCATGGATAATTCAGAAGCCTGTCCCCATTTCTAGGTACTTATTCACGCTTGCAAAGTTCCTGTTGCCATGCATGGCAACATATTTTCAGGTTTGGTCGTTAGGACATGGGTACCTTTTCAAGAGCCATGGTTCTGCTTTTTACTCTTGACCTTCTCTGATCGTGGTGATTTTACAAATAACTCTATCTTGGCACTGGCAGGCATTGGTGGCTTTCTGAGCACTGAAGAAATTCCTTACTTTCTGAGGTTTAGGTGGGAGTCCATCACCTCTAGTCCAGCTTGGAATAGTTAACTGCACCCTGGCTAGCCCCACCTGATAAACCCAGGAACCCTCATGCTCAGTGGTCTCTGAAACCCACACACGCCAGCCCTAACTTCTGCATTCTTGGTCATTGTGAGTTCATCTCATCACAACTGCTTGCTGTCTAGAAATTTACCTGCGGCTTCTATTTCCTTTCCTTTTTGGTGGTATTGAGGTTAGAACTCAGGGCCTCATGCTTGACAGGCAGGCATTCTACTACTTGAATCACTTCTTCAGCCCTTTTTTTATGTTGGATATTTTCGAGATAGGGTCTCGAACAATTTGCTCAGGTTGGCTTCGAACCTCAATCCTCTTGATCTCTGCCTCCTGAGTAGCTAGGGTTACAGGTGTGAGCCATCATTACTCCTTCCCTGTCCTCTTTGTTTCCTTCCCAGGGCCATAGCCTGATCATTCATTTCCTGGCAGTAGTGCCTCATCCTCCTTCTTTCCAGGGTCTTGTCCACCTAGCACATGGCTGTTCAACGATCTTTCTAGAACTCAATTACAACAGGATTAATCGCTGTTTAAAATCTTTTCACAGCTTTCCATTTTCCACAATAAATTTCCAAAGGATTAGCAAGAATTCTTCAGGATGGTGCTTTCTAAAGTGACTTAGAAAAAGTCAGTATTTGTCTTTGCTATGGTTCCCAGCACAAGTCCTGTGAGTTTTGGAAAAATACACTCTCCCCCAACCATCCCAACCTGCTTGGACTTACTGCTCCTTCTGTGGCTCTGATGAGCAGCCTGGTGGCAGTGCACCTTTCTAGCAGTGATCTGTCTCGCTCTGTACCCCGTGTGACTTCTACCACAGCTGGAGCTAACATCCATGAGCAAAGTCCTAATTCAGCACCCTATAGCAAGTCCTGTAGTTCATGACCCTGCGGGACTTTTTGATACTTGCCCAAGGTTTCAAAGATTTTTACAGGTGAGGGGAACATTTTTCCCCAGGAGGGCTACCAACCTACACAGAAGTATAGCAGAGGACCACATAATTACAAAAGGGGTCAAATTTTATGCAGAACAGAAAATTATATTCAATAGTCAAAACAAAGTTTTCAAATTGAAGCCCTTTTGAAGAGAGGGAACAGGTTGGGAATAAAGGCACACAGACACAAAGCAGGCTACAGATCAAATAAGTAGGAGGTTAGATTAACCCTGAAAGAGGCACAGGTTCAAAGGCCACTTGCTTTTATGGACTCCTACTTCCCCTTGTGGCCTTTTAGGGTATTGCTTTGTGTTGGATCTTGAAATCTTCCTGAAGGCCAGAGATCTCCCGTCACTTTTCTAGGATGTCATGGCTGCCAGCCTGAATGTCAATCCCAAGACCCAAAGAGGCCCAAGGCTACATGATACGCTTGTGTCGTGATAGGTTTTGGGAATGACCGCCATCCTATCAGGCCATCAGCATATCTGAAGGGCCTTGGTTGAATCTGACAAATTGATCTGTTGTGTTTGTTGTCATGCCTTTGTTCCCATAGATAATTGTCAAGGTTGCAAAAAGAACAAAACAAAAGTGTCCTTTTTCTGTGATAAGAATTTCTAATTAGGGCAGTTAAATAAATAAGCTTTTAGACTGGAAGGAGAAATAAGTAAATGTATAATCTGATAATTTGTTGCTGCATTAGTAGACTTTAACACTGGAGTATCTTTTTTAAAAGATTTTTTTCATGGCACTGGGATTTGAACTCAGGGCCTCACACTTGAGATGCAGGCACTCATCACTTGAGTCACACCTCCAGCCCTTAAAAAGATTATATTGTGGTAAAAAGCACAAAACATAAAATTTACCATCATAACTACATTAAGTGTGCAGCTCAGTAGTGTTTAGTGTATTCACATTGTTGTACGAAAGATCTCCAGAACGTTCTCATCTTGCAAAACTAAAACTACATTAGAGTATCTTTTAAGGGCTGGGTAGACACAAAGGGTTGAGAAACAGATTAAAAAACTATCTAAATACATTCACCGACCATCGACTCATGATGGGATATTAAACACATTTGCATCACAGTTCTAACTCTAAATCAGAAATCATTTTTAAGACTTAATTTTTTAGAGAAGTTTCAGGTTCACAGAAAAGTTAAGTGAAAGGTAAATTTCTGCCACACAAAAGCTGAGTGTGGCGGTACATGCTTTTAATTCCAGCTACTCAGGAGGTAGAGGTAGGAGGATCACACTCTGAGTCCAGCCTGAGCAAAAGTGTAAGACCCTATCTGAAAAATAAACTAAAACAAAAAGTGCTGAGGGGTATGGGTTAAGTGGTAGAATGCTGATCTAGCAAACATGAGACCCTGAATTCAAATCCCAGTACCACATATGCAAAACCATTCTGCCACACAGTCAGTCACCTCCTCACCTCCATTATCAACAGCCCCCAACACAGAAGTACATTTATTACACCTGATGAACTCACACTGTCACATCATCATCACCCACAGTCCATAGTCTACATTTGGGTTCCCTTTGAGGTTATATATTCTGCAGATTAAGACAAGTGTATAAGGACATGTGTCTGCCATTGCAGTGTCATGCAGTGTAGTCATCATGCTAAAAGCTCAGAGGTCACTTTTGCCTCACTGATAGAAGTTATTGTCCACACCCTGGCTTTGAGCCTTGACTGGCACAACAACCAATAGTGACAGGTGTGGCAGCTGTGTGTGTGGCACTGGGCCCATTGATGGAGTGGATGGGGATGGGGTAGGTGGTTCTTTTAAATCTTTCTAGAAAACTTCATAGAAAGTTCATTTAATTTCAAGATCTAACAACTACATAAGGAGGTGGTTAAAACATATTCCTTAGCACTTCAAAACTACTAGTTATCCAAAAAACCCTATGCAAATCAGGAAATGGCATAAGTAGTGACTCCAGCTGGATCATGCATTTTTTTTAGTCACTTCTGAAACTATAGGCTGTAAGCATCAGTTGGTCCTGTATGGAAATGAAGTAAGAGAATCATTTTTAAGATTCTCAACAGGACTGGTAATGCTGTGTGATACCGGAGAAGGGGCCTCATCTCAGCTTTGTGTGCTAAGGGTTTATAATGCTCCAAAGGATTAGTTGTTGAGAAAAATCTATCACTGTCCTAATGGAGAAAATTTGTTGATCAATAATAATAAATGACTTCTATGGAAGGAGCTTTGAAAAATGTAAGTCATGGGCTGGAGGTGTGGCTCAAGAGGTAGAGTGCCTCTTTTGCAAATGTGAAGCCCTGAGTTCAAACCCCAGTCCCACTAAAAAAAAAAAAAAAGGTAAATCACATCACATCCTGTCACCACTTTGGTTAAAAACCTTCTACTGAAGGTTTCTTTTGTCTTGGATTTTTAAATTTTTTACTGTGATAGAATCTATATTTATTGGAGGTGTAGAGTGCTTGCTTAGCAAGTACAGTATAGGGTTCTGAATTCAAATTTATCTTCTTAACCATTTCTAAATGTATAACTCCCTCCCTCCTCCCTCCCTCCCTCCCTCCCTCCCTCCCTCCCTCCCTCCCTTCCCTCCCTTCCTCCCTTCCTTCCTCCTCCCTCCCTCCCTTCCTCCTCCCTCCCTCCCTCCCTCCCTCCCTTCCTTCCTTCCTTCCTTCCCTCCCTCCTTCCCTCCTTCCTTCCTTCCTTCCTTCCTTCCTTCCTTCCTGTGGAACCTAGGCTGGCTTTGAACTTGCAGTCCTCCTATCTTGCCTCCCGAGTGCTGGTATTACAAGCATATGCCACTATGCTCAGCTGTGGTGTGTGGTATTCCACACATTCACACTGTCATGTAACCGTCAGACCATCTATCCCTCGAACTCTGCTCATCTTGCAGCACTGAACCTCTGTCCCATTCCTCCTCTCCCATTCCCCCAGAAACCTCCTGCTTTCCGTCTCCATGAATTTGAATCTTCCAGGGACCTTGTATAAGTAGAACCAAGATATTTATCTTTTTGCCACTGGCTTATTTCACTAGCTTAATGTCCTCAAACCTCATCCATGTAGTAGTATGTGGCAGAACTTCCTTTCTTTTTAAGAGTGAATAATAATTCACTGTATGGCCATGTTTTATTTTTTCCTTTTCTTTGGATTTTATTGACTCCTTCCCATGGCCCCCCAGGCCCTCAGGGTGGAGTTCATATCTTACTCTGGGTTCCCACCTCCCACCTGTGTACGTGTCACTGAGGCCCAGGCATACTGCTTTTCCTTTTGCTCTCAGACCACCCAGGCTCCCTCAACACCGGGTCTGCATTTGCTGTTCCCTATCTAGAGAACTCTTCCAGTAATGGTGTGCATGGCTCTTGGTCTTCCCTCTGGTCTCAACTGAACTCTCACCGACCCGGCAGGCCTCCAGTGGTTTCCCTCCCATCCACTGTGAGCCCCATTACCTTCTTCTGACTATCTTCATAGCACATCCTGGATTGCTGTTGGAAATTATCTATTTTCTCTGTTAGATTACCTGTTTGGTGTCTGTCCCTGCTAAGATTACATAAGACTTCATTTACAAAGTAAGAGGTGACATGGAAATTGAAAATGATGTGGTATAAAAGTCATTGTGTAACTGTGAACTCACAGTGCTGTTGACAAAATCCAGGGGACTGATGGCTAGACTAGACACAGAAGATGCTGGTATTGCTGTCACATGGCTCCTGTGTGGCCTTGGACTCCTTAATGCCCCCATTTGTGCTTTGGTGTTCTCCTCTCTAAGATGAGAGGTTTGACAAGGCTTCCTCTGGGTTTCCTCCTGCCCTGGCCTTCTGTGATACATTAAACACGTGTGTTTGAAACACAGAGTATTTGCAAGGTGAGGAGCAGCTATAGTAAAATAGATGAGAGTCCTGTCTTTGGGGAGTATGTGATCTAATGTGGGAATAGACACATGTGATCCACATAGAGCACAGCATGAGCTGTGTGTAGAGAGGTGACATCATGCAACAGAACTGTATACCTCTGTCCCTTTCAAAAAAGAGACAAAAACCTTCATTCTTTATTGAGTGCTTAAGTACTTACTGTGCTTAGTACATTTTGTTGTTCTAAGCACTTCATGTATACGATCTGATTTAGTCTTCTGAAGTGCTACTAATCCCATGTGGTAAATTCAGAGAATTTAGGTAATGTGGCCAAAGTCACACAGCTAGTTAGTAGCAGAGCTAGGATTGGCTCTCAAAGCCCCATTCTTAACATGGGGCCATCCTGAATTGTATCTCTGTGCACGTTTATTAGAGGAGAAGTGTTTGGGTCAGGACTTGAAGACAAGTCTGAGCGCAGCAGAGGGGAGAGGTGAAGGCAGAGGCCAGGTCCAAGGTCACATCCTCATCCTTTCCAACACCCCCTTTGATAGCAGAGGGGACTGCTTTGGGATACGTGGCATTGTTCCTGCAAGTTCACCTTGGCAGTGTTTGAGGTGACGGAAGCAGGGCCTCTGCGGCATCCGGCACCCTGGTGCTCCCACCCCTGTCCTCTCTGTCTGGGTACTGCAGGTGGGGAGCAGGATGGTGATCGTAGCTGCGGGCTGTGTGCTACTCCTGATGGGTGTATTTGGGAAGATCGGAGCTGCGTTTGCCACCATCCCAACCCCTGTGATTGGAGGCATGTTCTTCATCATGTTTGGGCTCATTAGTGCCGTGGGGATCTCCAACCTGCAGGTGAGGAAGGCGAGGCACCCCGAGAAATGTGGTAGCAATGCCCTTCCTTAGAAGACCCCACTAGATGGGGTGGATCAGGGAGGAGGAGAGGAAGGGAATTCTTGGTCCCTGAAGCCACAGTGACCCCTAAAACAACCAGAGGCACCCAGATCGCTGAAAACAGCTGAGGTATCCATGCATGGTAAAGGTGCTGATGGCCCACTCAGCCTCCGGGGGTCTCTCATCTGCAGTACGTGGACATGAACTCATCTAGGAACCTCTTTGTCTTTGGCTTCTCCATGTACTGTGGGCTTGCCATTCCCAACTGGGTGAACAAGAACCCTGAGAAGCTGCAGACAGGTGAGTGCTTTCTGCCCTCTAGACTGTCATCGCTCTGGGTGTTGAGCACTGGGGCCTTTGGTCCCTGTGAACCTGTCACTTTTGTCTTACTCTAGGCATCCTCCAGCTTGATCAGGTCATCCAGGTGCTGCTGACCACAGGCATGTTTGTCGGTGGATTTCTGGGCTTTCTCCTGGACAACACCATTCCTGGTAGGGCTTGCTTGTGAGCTGGTGGAGTGGGTGGATGATCAGTGTTTGGGCCACCTGGAGAGCTTCTACCCTGATTACTATGTCAGGCTTGCCACAGCACACCCACCCTGAATGGGTTCTGGGTCTGGAGTCTTAGGGATAAGAAGGGCCTGTATTAGCCATCTGAGGATGCTGTAACACCACAGACTGGTGGCTTAAGCAACAGAAATTTCTCTCTCATGCACAGATTCTGGAGGTTGAAATCTGCGCTCAAGAGGTTGTAGGTTTGGTTTCTCCTGGGGCCTTTCTCCTTGTCTGCTTTCTCACTGCATCTTCACATGGCTGGCTTTTCCTCTGTGCACACATTTTTGGTATTTCTCCAAGTGTCCCAATCTTCTCTTCTTATAAAGATAAAGTCAAATTGGACTAGGGCCCCCTCTAGAGGCTTTATTGTGACTTAATTACCTCTTTAAATCCCCTGTTTGCAAATGCAGACATATTCTGAGGCCTTGGGGGTTAGGCCTGCAACATATGAATTATAGAGAGACGCAGTTCAGCCAAGACAGGCCCTAAAGTGGGAGATACACCAGAAATAAAAGGAAAAAGGCCTTGACTCTCGTAAGTCCTACTATCTAATTGCCGAGGGAGACCACACGTGTATTTATTTATCCACTCATTCGTTCACATTTGTTATAACAACCCCTGAGCATTTGCTCAGGTACTAGGGAGAATACATAGAGAAAAAAGATGTGTCTCTACCTCTGAGAACTCCGTAGGCTAATGGAAAGAGGCAGAAAACAGACAAGTATGATGGTGGGTAACAAGCGCATAGAGGTTCCATCAGCATGGCCTCTGGAGAGGCGGTCGAAACCCACCTCTCCTTCTGTCTCTTCTGGATCCTCCCTCAGCCTTTCTAAAGGACCTCTATGATAGCACCTGCTTCATGGCGTTCTACTTTCCACCAAATGTAAAATATTCCACAAACACTAAAAATGCAGGCAGACCTCCTCCCTGGAGTTGAGGAAGGCTTTTTTTTTACCAGGGCCCAGTCTTGACTTTTTGCTGTCCCCTCTTAGGAAGTCCACAGAAGCGAGGTCTCCTGGCCTGGAATCAAATCCAGGAGGAGTCTAAGGAGACTCTGAAGGCCTCAGACATCTATGGCCTTCCCTGTGGCATCGGTACCAAGTTCTGCGCGTCTCCCAGCACCCGGGTACTCCCTTTCTGCCCCTAGCTGGATCACAATGGGAAAGGTGAGGTAGGTCTCACCCTTTCCAGAATCTCCAGCACTGTGGCTGCCAAGAGGCAAAATATTAAGATCCTGATTGGCGCGCTCTGTTCTGGCCACCCTGGCTGGACTCAGTGTGTCCTGGGGTGTCTCAGCTCCAGTATGGTCGAGAGTGGCTGGTATCCACACAGAACTCTGCTTTTCTACTGTGCTTGGCAGTATTCTAAAGAACCAAAAGAAAGAAGCCTGGGGTAGGAGAAGGATGGGCTATTTGCTGAAAGGTGACATGAACAGTCCCCCAAAAGGCAGCAACCATGTGCCCTCTCCATCCTCCCCCACAACTCACCCCTTAAGGCTGTTGTGGAGGAGCAGCAAGCTCCTGACGCTCCAGGAGCCTGGCTCAGGGACCTGTGGCCTACACTCATCTGCTGAGTAGTAACGGCTGGACATATGCTTTGTGTCACACTACTATGACTTGTTCTACCCACAAAGCTCCGCACGTCTTCTCACTGCTCTTCAGCCTCCCTTCCAGGAGTAAATGGGGGCTGGAGATCCCAGAGCCAGGGAGTAGTAGAAGTCAGACCCCCTCTAGATAGTACAGAGGTTACAGGTCAAGGAGGCTAAGTATGGCAGCTAGGAATCAGTCTACTGAGACCCCAGACTCTGCCAGAGCTGCAGGTTGCTGGGAAGCTGTGTCCTGTACCATAATCTCAAGGCTCAGTACTGCCCATCACCAGGTGTGCTGGGAGGGGGGTGCTGGGAGGGGTGTACTGGGAGGAGGTGTACTGGAGGAGGTGTACTGGGAGGAGGTGTACTGGGAGGAGGTGTGCTGGAGGAGGTGTGCTAGAGGAGGTGTACTGGGAGGGGGTGTACTGGAGGAGGTGTACTGGGAGGAGGTGTACTGGAGGAGGTGTACTGGGAGGAGGAGGTGTACTGGGAGGAGGAGGTGTACTGGGAGGAGGTGTACTGGAGGAGGTGTACTGGGAGGGATGTACTGGGAGGAGGAGGTACTGGGGGGAGGAGGTGTACTGGGAGGAGGTGTACTGGGAGGAGGTGTACTGGGAGGGATGTACTGAGAGGAGGAGGTGTACTGGGGGGAGGAGGTGTACTGGGAGGAGGTGTACTGGAGGAGGTGTACTGGGAGGGGTGTACTGGGAGGAGGGGGTGTACTGGGAGGGGGTGTACTGGGAGGAGGAGGTGTTCTGGAGGAGGTGTTCTGGAGGAGGTGTACTGGGAGGAGGTGTACTGGGAGGAGGAGGTGTACTGGAGGAGGTGTACTGGAGGAGGTGTACTGGGAGGAGGTGTACTGGGAGGAGGAGGTGTACTGGGAGGAGGTGTACTGGAGGAGGTGTACTGGAGGAGGTGTACTGGGAGGGGTGTACTGGGAGGAGGAGGTGTACTGGGGGGAGGAGGTGTACTGGGAGGAGGTGTAGTGGGAGGGGGTGTACTGGGAGGGGGTGTACTGGGAGGAGGTGTACTGGAGGAGGTGTACTGGGAGGGGTGTAGTGGGAGGGGTGTACTGGGAGGTGTACTGGAGGAGGGTACTGGGAGGGGTGTACTGGAGGAGGTGTACTGGGAGGGTGTACTGGGAGGAGGTGTACTGGGAGGGGGTGTACTGGGAGTGGGTGTACTGGGAGGGGGTGTATTGGGAGGGGTGTACTGGAGGGGTGTAGTGGGAGGGTGTACTGGGAGGGGGTGTACTGGGAGGGAGTGTACTGGGAGGGGTGTACTGGAGGAGGTGTACTGGGAGGGGTGTAGTGGGAGGGGGTGTACTGGGAGGTGTACTGGAGGAGGTGTACTGGGAGGGGTGTACTGGAGGAGGTGTACTGGGAGGAGGTGTACTGGGAGAGGTGTACTGGGAGGGGTGTACTGGGAGGGGGTGTACTGGGAGGGGTGTACTGGGAGGGGTGTACTGGGAGGGGTGTACTGGGAGGGGCAAGTGCACTCATTCTTCTGTCCTGGAGGAGTTGGTAGAGGAGTGCCAAGGACGTCTGTAAGTCATGTGGATGGAGACTCCTGGCATCCTGTGTAATTGAGGGCACAGTGTGGGTGCCAGGCTGTGCAGGGTGTGGCAGGAGGACCTGTGAAGGGGACAAATACTGTCCGCATCTCACTCTTGTTTCCTTTTGTCCCACAGCCCTCCACTAAAACCTTTGAAGAGCACCGTGCTATTCCAGCCACCCAGGGAATGGGAGCAGTCACTAGGTGGGGAGAAGGAGCTTCAGGGTGTATATGCAGAAGAGTTTTTCCAGGTAGAAAAATGAGTTGGTGAAAAGACATGCATTTTTAAAAAAAATCATTTGTTGATAAAATTTGTAAACCAATTCAGCTCTTTTGAAAGTTTTTTCATTCTTCACACAAGGATTTTGTATTGATTTTATAACGTACCCAATCTGTTTGTTCTTAGAACACATTTTGCAGTCAGCCTACAAAAAAACTGACAATTATTTTAATGTAATCAGTACTAGGAAATTCCTTAAAATATTTTTCTTTTCATCCTCACGTTGGTAATACGCGCATGTGAAATGTTACCTTTGGAAAACAAATGAACGCTTCCCTTTGGCTAGTGGGGAATGGCGAACTTTAATCCCAGGTCCTACAGGACATCTCCACGCTACTTCTGCTTAGACCCTCACACCAGCAGGTTTTCCACCCTATCCCTTTCTGTTGTTGGCACCTACAGACCAACCTTCCCTTCCCAAGGATGTTACTGTGGCAGTCACCATCTCTCTCTCTCTCTCCAGTGATTCTTCTTAACATCTGGTGACTTCCTATCAATAGAGTCATCATTCCTACACTCTGGCCTCTCTGAACCTTGAGCTCCATGATAATCTGGTCCTTTGTTCATCTCAGCCACTCACTTGGTGGCCATATTTCAGGATGAGCTTTGGGATTACCCTTCGCTGTGCCTCCTATGATCCTCAATTTCAGACTATCCTTTGACCTCCCACTTTTCTAGCTCCCAATTTGTAGTCCCTCAAGTCCAATAATTCTTTTACCTGCCAGGTTCTAAATCTTCCATCTTCCCACCTGTCCCCTCTTCCCTCCTTCTCTCTCTTTTTTTCTTTTTTGGCAGTACTGGGGTTTGAACTCAGGGCCTCAGACTTGCTAAGCAGGTGCTCTACCACTTGAGCCACTCCACCAGTCCTCCCTCTTCCCTTCTTATCCAGCCTCAGTTCCACAGTCAATTTATTTTATCCTTTTTTTTTTTTTAGAGACAGAGTTTTACAATGTAGCTCAGACTGGCCTTGAGCTCAAGGTCCTCTTGCCTCAGCCTCCTGTGTGCTGGGATTACAGATGTGTGCACAACATCCAGCTTTCCATGGTCAAACTTAATAACCACTTTCTTGCATTCTTAATGCTCTTGTCTGCTGTCTTTTTGTCACAGCCTCTCAGTAAAACCTTGACACTGATCCAAAACCATTCTTCACTGATTCTATTCCTGTACTTAACGTAGCTAGAGAAGACACACAAATAAGATGACTGGTCTTGGATTCATGACCATGAACTTAACCTGGATCCTCAATGCCACCTTGCTTTTCCAAATTCATTGATATCTCCTTCTCTTCTCTTCTAAAACTCCTTCTGCATTCACCCTCATCTTGATTCTCAGCCTTCTAGCTCACCGAGAAATCTACAGGGAAGCAAGCAGAAAAGCACCTGCATAAGAATCCCCATCTCCTCACCTTCTGGCTTCTGTGCCTGTGTCCTCAGGTGTCCCTGCTGAACTCTCAGGGTTCTTCCCTGATTTTTTCCCTTAGGCTCCAATTCTCCCCTCTCACATCAGCAAAATTTCTTTCTTTTAAAAATTTATGTCAACATATCTATTATTTGTACTTTCTTTTTAAAGCCTAATTTTTGTGAGTGATGTGGCATGGTGGTCTTGAAGTAATAAGGTCAACTCTGTAAAATGTTGTAATAAACTCATACAAACTCAGGTCCTGGTCTTAGCTGCCTGAGGGAAGCCCAGGACACCTCTCAATCCAGTCAAGAGCACGTCCTCCCTTTTTTCCCTTCTCTCTCTGCCCCCAGGGCCCTTCAAATCATGTCTAGTTATGTCATTCCTTTATTTCTTTCCCTTAAGTTGATGTCTCTAGGACTTTCCAATGCTCCATCTGTTCTCAACAAACAGCTGACAGCCAGCCAGCCAGGCCCAGTTTTCCAAATGTGTGTTCCTGTTTTATCCTTGGAGTGCACTATCATCAGGGAATCAACACAAGATAAAGAGGGGTGTCTCTCTACTGGAAAAGCCTCCTGTCTTCCCTCAGCTGTCCTTTCTGTCAGAGCACATGGTTTCAGAGCACCAGGGACAGACAGTTTTGTGAGAAGTGTATGCAGAAAGGACAGGTTTCTGACATTACCATAAAGGCATTTTTCTGTACACTGTTCAAAATCAAGTTTGGGGAAGTACATTTTTTTCCCTGAGTAACTGGTGGATGAAAGCTAATGAAAGGAAGAGGCATGAGGTAGTTAGCTCGATGAAATTAGCAGCATGTGTAGCTGAGTTAGTCAAACTAGAGGTCAGGCTCTGAGCTCAATCTGACACCCAGCCCAGTCACCTCCTGGCACACACAATCTGTGCTGTGTAACTGCTGGTCTCTTGGAGCTCAGAGTTGCCATGAGCTCAAGACTGCTGTCAGAAACCACATATCTATTCAGATCTCACAGTCATAGCCCCTCAGCCTTTCTCTGCATGTTCCACTGTTACCATCGTGACCCCCGTTCAGTCATGGTTTGAAGGTGATGCACATGCCTGTGCTATGAACTCTGAGGACTAGTTTCAGATTTCTACATCCTAATGCTTTCGTGGCAGACTGGAGAATTTTATGTTTTTCCTCCTTCAAACAACAGCAAAAGTGCTGCCTAGCCATTAATTTACTGGGAAAAAAGAAAGAAACCTAGTTGACGATGAGGTGATCTGATGGTCTCTTTTGTTAATTGGGTTTTTTGCTTCAACCAAATCTATTGCTTTTTCTTTTTCTTTTTTTCTCGTTTATTCATATGTG